AGTGCAATCACTTATTTTAGTAATAAACTGTCTTTGGTTTTACACACGATCAGGTATCTGGTTGTTTCTTTGTCCTTGTTACCAGTTTTACTGCTACTATATACAGTATATACAATACATATACATATACACACTGGTTCCCCGAGTGCTATCAGAAGGGCCGTATACTTGCCTGTGTCACTCCCGAAGACTAGTGAACTGTCCCTCCAGACCTGTCAGAGGATATTCTATTGATTATATATTCGTGTGAGCGCATTTCCTGCTTTTATACCTGTCCATCACCATCCCCACATTCAATGCGCTATGTTCTTTCTTCCTTTTTGTGTCCACCTGCGTTCAAGAGCAGCACACTCAGCCTGTCACCTTCACAGTCATCTACAGTATACATTTCATCATCTCCCATTTTATGTATCTACTCTACACAGTGCACGTGTGGGTTTTTATTTTTCATCTCTGTCATCATTCAGTCTCTGCGTTTGTGAGTATCTGCTGAGTGAGGGTAGCAAGCAGGTAAGCCCAAAATCTCATGAGGGGGTCTCTGGGAGACTACTAGCTACTAGAGGTGCACCAAAATGACATTTTTAAAACCGAAAATAAAAAAATTGTCAGGCCGAAAACAATATTTTTTTTCTCTAACCTTTTCACGTTTTTAAAAATATTTTATGACTGTTTATTTTTTATAAACGTTTTCATTTTTGATATTTTATTTTTATTAAATATTTTTCATTTTTTTACTTTACTTTTGGGGGCCCTGGTGAGACTGCAAACAGCCCTGGGGAGATGCTGCATACAGCCCTGGGGAGATGCTGCATACAGCCCTGGGGAGATGCTGCATACAGCCCTGGGGAGATGCTGCATACAGCCCTGGTGAGAATGCACAGCCTTGGTGAGGAACACAGAGGATGTAGCTTCATATTAATCTGCATTGCTGTATAATGTATTGCTGGGATTTGTAGTCCTCAATCGCTGGTGGTATTCTGCATTGCTATATAATGTCCCACCTCAACCTAACCACTGAACTGTCACGTTCTCAAACAATTCATCCCCACACAGCTACCTCCTCATGTATCACTTCCCCCTCCCTTTTAGATTGTAAGCCCTCAATCTTGAATAGTATTGTAATGTTTTCCTTATATTGTAAAGCGCTGAGCAAACTGTTGGCGCTATATAAATACTATGTAATAATAACATTAATGTATTGCTCAGATTTGTAGTCAGTCTACAGCATGGAGTCAGTGGTAGAACTACCAGGGTCGCAGCGGCTGCAGCTGCCACCGTGTCCTGGCCCTCCACCACTGTCCTAAAATCATTAGTCTGTATTGGTTTAGAATATATGTCACATGACACTAAAAGAAAGTATCGGTAATTGGTATTGGCTATTACTTAGGGAAAAGTATAGGTAGTCGTACTCGGTCTTGAAAGAATATTGGTGCATCCCTAATATGAACTCATTAAAATCAATGGAGACGCACGGCAAATGCTTGAAAACGCACACAAATGTGCACAAACAGGACACGCATTCCTGCCAGGTGCAGGTGTGAACCTGACCTTAGACTCTGCTTTCAGAAGAAGCAGCCGCAGAGAAGGGCCCACATCTCAACTTGTGACAACAGTATCTCTCCCTACACTGAACTGTCAGCTCTAACAGCTTCAACACACACTGACAATATGGCTGCTTTTATAGAAGGGGGGAGGGGCTATCTATTCCTTCATAGTATTGACTCTTGTGACTCAGCTGTCCAGAGACAAAGGCTTTCCAATGTAGGTTGTTCCTTGTTCCTGGTGGTGAACCTGTAAACTTTTCAGCCAAAAGTTCATGATTTGCTGCGAACCAATGGTAGGCACGATCAGCAGCAAGCATCCGCAGCATTCTCCAAGGCACCCTATGGACATTCAAAAATTAACATATTCATGACCTGGAATAAATAAGCTTTTAAAGAGAACTATGTGGTAAGTGTTTTTCCCCATAGTTCTCTTAAGGGTCACAGGAGGAAATATACTACCATCCTCCCATGACCCAAAGCTCAGGATATCGCGATGCACCTCCCCGATGCACATGTTTTGCAATGGACCACACCGAAAGGTGACACATGCATTGTGGTGAGCTGTATCGGGAAAAATGGTGACTGTGCGTTTATAGGTCCGTTGTGGTTCATTGGCAGGCCATTCACATAAATAAGCTGCCATAATGCAACAACGTGCAACATAATGCACGTTATTGCACCACCTTGGTGTAAATGCGCACCTACTCGAAATCCAATACCTGGCCACAGGTCCACAATACTTTGTATTTATGACCAGATGTATAGTATGAAGGTCTGCCTGGATATACACTGAACTGATTGTTACCACCTTTTCTTCAAGTGAAACCCGAACACTCTAGCGACGCGCGGACATTTTTTTGGGAGTCGTGGCTTATTCATATGTAAATAGCGCCACTCATTCATATGTAAATATCACAGCCGAGACTATTTTCAGTGGGGGGCCAGCAGTCCCTATCTTAATTTTGGTTGCCCCCTGTCTGCCTGACATCTTGTGTCCGGGTTTCTGCTGCCAGGAAATGCGGATCACACGTCTCTGAGCGCAGCAAACTGTCCCCCCGGATCACACGTCTCTGAATGCAGCAAACTGTCCCCCCGATCACATGTCTCTGATTGCAGCAAACTGTCCCCCCGGGTCACACGTCTCTGATTGCAGCAAACTGTCCCCCCGGATCACATGTCTCTGAATGCAGGAAACTGTCCCCTCGGATCACACGTCTCTGAATGCAGGAAACTGTCCCCCTGGATCACACGTCTCTGATTGCAGCACACTGTCCCCCGGATCACACGTCTCTGAATGCAGCAAACTGTCCCCCCGAATCACACGTCTCTGAATGCAGGAAACTGTCCACCCGGATCACACGTCTGTGAATGCAGCAAACTGTCCCCCCGGATCACACGTCTCTGATTGCAGGAAACTGTCCCCCCGGATCACACGTCTCTGAATGAGTCCTCAGCCAACACACCTCGGCGGGAAGAGAATCAGACGTGTTGCATGACAACCCTCTGCTGTGCTACAAGGCGGCTGTGCTGCGTTGGGTCAAGGTGAAGGACACTGCAATGCTGTCACGTGTGTTGCGGTAGCACATGCATTACTGCCACGTTTGTGTAAATGGGCCCTACAAAGCAACTTGCCTTTTCTAGATGTATACAGCAACCTGGTGATCCTGCCAGGGACAGGCACTTCCTTCAACAGGGTGACAACACTGATCACCATACTGTGAAGTGACTACAGTGTTTAACTGTCCCCCCGGATCACACGTCTCTGATTGCAGGAAACTGTCCCCCTAGATCACACGTCTCTGAATGCAGGAAACTGTCCCCCCGGATCACACGTCTCTGAATGAGTCCTCAGCCAACACACCTCGTCGGGAAGAGAATCAGACGTGTTGCATGACAACCCTCTGCTGTGCTACAAGGCGGCTGTGCTGCGTTGGGTCAAGGTGAAGGACACTGCAATGCTGTCACGTGTGTTGCGGTAGCACATGCATTACTGCCACGTTTGTGTAAATGGGCCCTACAAAGCAACTTGCCTTTTCTAGATGTATACAGCAACCTGGTGATCCTGCCAGGGACAGGCACTTCCTTCAACAGGGTGACAACACTGATCACCATACTGTGAAGTGACTACAGTGTTGTCACTGTGGTGAGTGCTGCACTCTCCTGCAGTTAGATGAGGATGATCGTCAGCTTTGAAGCTGAAATATATTCATTAATGGGGGTTGGAATAATATATACTCGGGGGAATTTATCAAAACTGAAGCAGACAGAATCTGGAGCAGTTGCCCATGACAACCAATCAGCTTCTCTCTTCAGTTATGCTTTGAAAATGAAAGAAAGAAGCTGATTGGTTGCCCTGGACAACTACTCCAGTTCTGACAAATTCCCCTCACAGTGCTCCTGGAGGTGACAACCATGGGCCGCTCAGTGACCCCGGTGGAGTCCCCATCAACACAGAGCTCCTGGAGGTAACAACCATGGGCCGCTCAGTGACCCCATACACACAGTGCTCCTGGAGGTGACAACCATGGGCCGCTCAGTGACCCCGGTGGTGTCCCCATACACACAGTGCTCCTGGACGTGACAACCACGGGCCGCTCAGTTACTGCGGTGGTGTCCCCATACACACAGTGCTCCTGGATGTGACAACCCTGGGCCGCTCCGTGACCTTGGTGGTGTCCCCATACACACAGTGCTCCTAGAGGTGACAACCACGGGCCGCTCAGTTACTGCGGTGGTGTCCCCATACACACAGTGCTCCTGGATGTGACAACCCTGGGCCGCTCCGTGACCCTGGTGGTGTCCCCATACACACAGTGCTCCTGGAGGTGACAACCACGGGCCGCTCAGTTAATGCTGTGGTGTCCCCATACACACACTGGGGGGAATTTATCAAAATTTAAGCAGACAAAATCTGGAGTAGTTGCCCAGTGCAACCAATCAGCTTCTCTCTTCAGTTTGTGCAGTTAAGCTTTGAAAATGCTCCAGTTTTGATAAATTCCCCTCAGTGTCCGCAGAGGTAACAACCACGGGCCATTCAGTGACCCCGGTGGTGTCTCCGTAGCTGACTTTGGTTGCTCAGTGACCCCGTGGTGTCCCCATACACACGGTGTCCCCGGAGGTAACAATCACGGTGACCCGGGTGGTCTCCCTCCCCCCCAACTCCGCTCGCTGCACACTAAAGGGGCGCGGCTTGATCGGAAGACCACGCCCCTCCGCCGCTCATCCAGCTGGTAGGCGTGGCCTGCGGCGGGTCACGTGTGCAGGGAAAAGTTTTGCGCTCCCAGCGGGATGTGAGGAAAGTTTTCTTGTTGTTCTGCCAGTTGCGGAGATCGGATCGGTCGGGGCCCCGGGACAGGAGAGCGGCGGCCGGGCCCCTGGAGGGAAGTCATCCTCTGGATGGTGACAGTGACATGACCGGAGTGTGATCGGCTCTTCTCACCCGACAGCGGATTGCCTTTTCATGATGGAGAGCGGAGGCCAGCAGCAGAACTCCTCGGCCCCCCAGCCGCCCCCGGCCGGCCACCAGATAATACATGTGCGGGGGGACTCGGAGACGGACTTGGAGGCGCTCTTCAATGCAGTCATGAACCCCAAAACCGCCAACTTGCCCCAGACATTACCCATGAGGATGAGGAAACTTCCCGACTCCTTCTTCATGGGGGTGTTTTAGTTACCTGACTATAGGGACTATAGGGGTGTTCTCTGGTCAACTATTGGTATAGGATGCGCAGAGGTCACCTGACTGGGGGGAAGGGATGGGACGCACACTAGTCACCTGACTATGATGGGGGGATACAGCTTGGTCACCTGACAATTGTTGAAGCAGGAAAGATGGGGTGCACATGTCACCTGACTGGTGGGGGAAGGGGTGCACACTGGTCACCTGACTGCTTTGCATCCATTGCATACCCATCTACTGACTTTACAGCCGGGATTGGGCCCTGAGCAGCATATTGAGAAGGGGGGGGGGTGTAAACATTCATGTATGTTATAAGCTCGTTGAACTTGGCTTTCAAAGATTAGATGTCCAGGTGACATTGTGGAGACCCCTTTTTTGGGGTGCACTGGTGAGGGAGGGTTTTAGGGGTGCTGTCATGAATGCAGTAGCTTCTGTTTCCCCATTGTAAGGCATTCTGGGGGTTATTGTAGACTCAGCTAATCAGACAGATATTTTGGGGTCCCCTGACTTTCAGGGTGTATTCAGTTCTTGAGCAAGTCCTGATGACATTCTGGGCCATTGCCCCTGCAGCATATGTGGGGAGGGGACATGTTTGGGGGGGACGGGGTGGATGACGGTGTATCAGTAGTTTGCTCATCGACACTCTTGTTGTATGTTTGGGGGTCACCCCGAGAACATTGTTGGATGTTTGGGGGTCACCTTGAGAACATTTCCACACCTCCCTTTTACATTGAGATTATAGGAATCCTGGTGACTTTGTGGCTTGTTAAACCCCCAACTCTGGTGGGAGGTGATGAGATTTGTGGAACGCTGCAGTAAAGCCTTTTAAAAAGGGGGTGCTGGGTGCACTTTGAGGACTGGACAGATCGAGTCTCCCCCAAATGTGGCTTGCAGCATCAGTTCTACACCAGGCACTGCAGGCCCATTGGTCTGCCATTGCCATGGGATGTGCTCCTCTGGCCCTGACCAATATTTACTTTACTTCTGACACCTTGTGAGCTCCGGTCCCCTGCACGGTAAGGGGATGTATCGTTTTGGCTGTCCTTGTTTCTTCACAACCTTCTCCCTGCATTCTTTCACCGACTGACAAGTTCTATGTAGAAGAATGTTGGCGCAACTGTCGCCCGTCCCATTAAGGGCCCCTTCACGCCATTCCCTATGGGTAGCGTTGCCCAATGTAGTCCTAATGCATAGGTGAGGCCTTGTGTCCTATTGCTTCCATTCACTGCAATGGCTGCGTTGGGTGTGCGCTGAAAAGAAAAAGGCTTTTTTTGCAGCACATTCCGACACTCTGTAACGCATCACAATGCGCCATGCATGGCATTAAATAAGAAAACATAAACGCATACTTTTTTTATTGTTTGCTTATTGGGCGGCTCTGTTGCCTTGCAGGGTCTCCCAGGAGCCACCCTGACGCGCTCACTCCCAGCTGGCACTTCATTAATGCGTGCCGCGCCCGCCAGGCATCATGGGGCAGGCTCGGGCTGTGGGATACCCGGGGTCGTGATTAAATGTCCTTTGTGCACGCATGTGCACTGTGCTCTCAGCAGTGGAGATACTGGGCATGTGAGGAGATGTCTTTAGGGCACACATGCGCACTGTGTTCTCAGCAGTGTGGATACTGGGGATGTGAGTAGACATCCTTAGGGCATGCATGCACGCTATATTCTCAGCAGCGGGGAGACTGTGAATGCAAGGAGACATCCTTAGTGCACGCATGTGCACTGTGTTCTCAGCTGTGGGAGACTGGGGGTGTGATGAGGTGTCCTTATGGCACTCATGCACACTATATTCTCAGCAGTGGAGAGACTGGGGATGCGAGGAGGTGTCTCTAGGGCATACATGGGCACTATGATCTCAGCAGTGGGGAGACTGGGGATGCGAGGAAATGTCCTTAGAGTTAACATGCGCACAATGTTAACAATGCATAGACAAGGGATGCAAGAAGACATCCTTGAGTGATACATGCGCACTATATTCAGCTCAGATCATCTCAGATCAAATGTACTTGTAAAGTGCATGCTCTCGAACAGGAAGTTCCTAGAGGGCCACCAGACATACACATGTGCGCATAAACCTGTGCACAGCGCATTCTGCCAATACTTTCCTACTGGCACAGAAACGCAGCGGCTGAGGCTCCTGGGGTATTTTACGCTGCACGCCCATAAGTCTGTGTTTACATCCGTGAGCCCCAACATGTCCCCCGGTTGGTCACTAATACCAGACCTACTGGATAAAACACATCTGTACCGCGCTAAAGGGACCGGACCAAATGTTCTCCTAAATGTAAAAACTTGATATCAAGTATCGGCTTATGTCCTACTAAACATTCACTGGATGCAAACCGGTAACCGAAATCTGCAGCTTCAACCTAAAATAAACCGAATGGAGTTTAACTTGAGTTGGCAAAAACTTTTCGTGGCTCTGTTAGGGGCGGCGGTGGGGGTGACACTGCCTCGTGTCTTGTCATTGTGAATAGCCTTTTGATTCACAAGTCTCTTCGGTAAGTCAAAGTAACCTGCGCTCCTCCAGTCTCCATTTCTCCGGGGCCAAAGCAGCTTCTCCTCCATACTTGTAGCTGAAGGCAGTGCGGTGGGGGGTGGAGAAGTTTGCATGTACAGTACTGTTATCCTGTGTAGTAATGGTGCTCTGGAAGTCATTTATTAATAGCTTTATATGGTTGTTCCCTTGCTGCCTCTGATCTTTCAGCTCAGCCTTGAAGACTTAACTCTTCAACTGCCGACGGCGTCTTCACTGTCCTGCCACCTATTTACTTTTTTTTTTACTTTGCAACTTTTTTCTTTTTTGAGCATTTCTTTTTTTCTTTGGTTACAGTTACACAATCTTTTGGCGTGACGTTACTTTGCCGGCGGTAGAAAAGAGTCATTTGTTTTGATTTCGGGTCAGGACTTTGCTGAGTCTGGTCTGTGCACTCTGAATGCACCAGACTATTGGTTGCAGTTTTGTAACAGGAGATCGGGCACTGCTGGAGGCAGAGGGGGAAACGGTCCTGCCAGCTATTTAAAACCTGTCTAGCAGAAAACGTGGAATTCCGCTCCCATCCAGATCTCACCTCTGGCTACAAAAAAAACCTCATGTTTTCCAAAAAGGCTTTGTTTAATATGGACACAAGCGTGCTCTTGTGGCCCCGGTGGCGAAAGGCAGAGACGTTTCAGCCTGCCAAAAAGTTTTTTTATACTATGGATTGAGATGTGTAGTTGTGAAAAGTTTTCAGAAGAAGGCAATCCTTTCCTTTTTTTAATTTTGTTAAATTTTTTTTACATTTTTTTTTTAAAAAGTGAATTAAGTAGAAAATTAGATTGGCAGCACATTTTTTGTTTTTGTTTCCAGAAATATTTTTTTTTTCTGGGCTTATAGTGGTGAAAATAGATGTTTTGATTGTTAATTACTTAGTACTTTTTTCCCACTAATACATTTTTTTTCTGGGTTTATAGCGGTGAGAAAATTATGTTTTGATTTAATTACTCGGGACTCTCTTAATTTTCTTTTTATTCCAGAATTTTTTTGTTCCTATTCTGGGTTTATAGTGGTGAAAAAAAAAGATGTTTTGGTTAATAGTTACTTAGGACTGTATTTTTTTGTTGCCATAAATAAAAACCTTCTTTTCAAAAACACTCTATTAAGGTATTTTGAAAATGCATATTTGCTGGTTTGCAACTTTATTTTGTTAGATTTTTGTTTTTAATTTTTAAATTTAATTTTTAATTTTGTTACAATAAATTAATGTGATTTTT